CCACAGCCCTGTTTTTTACTTCAACTGCTACATAAATTTAAGGCCTCCTTTGACAGCAAGACCAGTTACATCTGTTTTTAACTTCTGTCAAGATGTGCATTTCAGTCACAGTTCCAACAGGTAAATCCAAACACCTGCTACAGGAGGCACCTGGGGAGTTCACATTCAACCATCACAGTGCAAGCACGTGGGAAAAGATGCACTGCACAAAGAAAAGGACAAAACAGGTCTGGAAATCTGCTCGTCTTGGAGCTGAACTGGAAACCATTACGATCTGAGGGTCTCCTTCTGCACTTGCACTGTCACTAAATTAGACACAAATATGATGCTTTCAAAGGTCTTCTCACTAATGGTGAAATTTGTAAGGATACACAACTAAAGCCTCTTAACTTCCTCTTCTTTCTACCACAGACTTCAAATAGTGCAATTATGCAGCTACTGCCAAGCAGACATTTTGTGGTGGCCACAGCAGGGCGGCAGCAGGAGGAGCAGGGACACCATTCCCGTGTGATCCACTTGCTCCCCCACAGGAACCCTCCCTGCCTCCAGACCCTCCTCTCAGTGTTCCCCCTCAGCACTCCAGGCAAGCAATCCCAAGGGAAATCCACATCCCCCTGGCCTCACAGCTCTTATTCCGGGCAGGATGGGACCCTGTTCCACACATGAACTGGGCACTGGCACCGCCAAACTGCATGAGGAATGGTGGTGCTCCAGCAGGGAAACTCCATGCCATTTACACGAGAAAGTGCCCAGCTACCAGGCTGCTTTACCTTTAAGAGGTGCTTTATCAGCTCAGCCAGACATCTGGGACACAATCAATTCTGAACACGTTCCAGGGAGCAGCCCTTGTTCCAAGGGGCAGCTGGAGGCAGGGTGAGTGCAGGACTCGCTCCCCACCCAGACACTGAATCACCCTGGGCAGGGGGACTGACCCCAGCATTTCTGCCTCCCCCAGGGAGGGGCACTTGGGATCCCACCTCCCTGTGCTCCCTCTCCACGTCTCTGGGAAAGGGGACACTTACCCCCAACACTCCATTCTGTCCGTAATGCTGCTGTGCAGGGAATTCCACAGGCCTTGCTCTGCCAGCAGCCTCAGCCACACAAATCTTTGTCTCTCAGCAGGGGCCCTGAGAGCTCTAAGTCTACATCTCTCCTTCAGAAAAACCTCTCCCATGGCTTTGTTTTTTCCTCATTCCTCCTACTCTGGAAGTTCACCCTGGAATGGAAGTCTCCACTTACTATTATTTAGCTGGTTGCATAAAAGACAACCAGAACGAGCAAAGAATCAAAGAATACAACGAGATTAAATTAAATCAAAACTTTACACTGAATGAAATGGCATTTTACCAATCTGCTTCTGGAAGAAACTCCAGGTGTTCCAAGGTATTTTTCCTCCAGCAAAAAAACAACAAAGAACCCTAAACAAAACACTTCCCATCCGCTGAGTGGCTCCATTGAAGTCACCACAAACACAAAGTAACAGAAATGACCCAAATGTGCTGGTGTCAGGCAGAATTTCTAATGTCCTTTGTGCTTCACACAACTGCAATGACCTGGTTTGCTGTTCCAGCATCACAGCAAATAGTTCATTTCTGCCCCAGTGTTTTGGGAGCAAAAAGGAAAGATTCAGTGTTGGAAACACCCCCTCAAAGCACATTTGCCATCTGGATTTCACCTTTGCATCTGCCCCCTCAGGACAATGCAGGAAATGTAAAATATTAGTGATTAGCTGCATTCCTGAGTGCCTGTAAGGAAAGCAAATAATAAAATAAATCAGTAGGATTTAATGTGAAAGGAATGCCTGATGGTGAAACCTACCCTGAAACAAGGGTGTCCTGGGAAACCAAGTGCCCTGAGAGCAAAGATCTCCCCATTATTTCCAAACATTACTGACATCTCAACAAGCACACACTGAGAGATATAAACTGCCCAATCTACATTTCAGAACACAGCTTTGTTATGGTCAGAGGTTTAGAGTCTGTAATCCAATAATATAAATATCACTGCTATAAAATCTTCCACGTCCCTTTAATCCAAACCAGGTCTTTGGAAAGCAGGGTTTTCCAGCCTCTTTGGGATAATGAACGCTCTCTATCAGAAGGGCTGGGATATGTCATGTGTATATTTAGTTTCCCAGTCTCAGAGTGCCCAGCTCATTTCAGGAGCTGAGTTCCTCCACCCGGGATGGATTCCCTCGTGTCCAAGGCACGCCTGCAGCTCAGTGACAAACACTAGGTGGCATTCCAGCCCTCTGCCAGGAGCTGGGCGAACCCGGGACTGCTCGGTCCCTGCCCTGTCCTGCTCGGTCCCTGCCCTGTCCTGCTCTCACACCTTCAGCACCAGCTGAAGAACCAACAGGAACACCCACCTGCTCTCAACTCGCACCTGAACCCGCCTCGATGGAGCTCAGAAAGGGCCACTTTGAGCTCTGGGGAGGGACACGGTGAAGCAGCTCAGAGCCAACTACAGCAGGTCCTGAGAAATACATGTCTGGAAAAAGTATCACTGCATCCAGGACTGCAGGAACTGTTTGCCCTTGAAAAGCGTTACAGTTGTTACAAGGAGTGGGGTTTCTTTATAGTTAACTACAGTTCTGAATTTATGGGGCTTTTCTAGTGTTGTTTGTTCCTTAAACCTCTGAGGTACCAGGTCCCCGTGGTAACAGCCCATAAAACAGGTTACCCAAGGCTGTGCACTCAACAAACCTCCTTCTGCCAGAGGCTCTTCAAAGCTTTACATCTGCTTTGCTGGAATGGTCAAGTTTAAAAAGGAGCTGCAGCCTTTTCAGAGTCCTGTCAGCTGCCTGCAGTCCCCTGGGGCTGGGGGAACTCACAGCACACTGGCATTTAGGTTGGTTTCCAAAAACTGGCACTGTTAATTGAGAACTAAAGATCCCTGGCCTTAAGTGCACCAGTAAGGCAGTTCAGAATAATTAACAACAGTCACACAGTATCACCACCTGAATTCCAGAAGTCTTTAAGGCCCAGTAAAATCTATTGCAGTTCCACTAATGGGAAGGCAGGAAAAAACCCCACACAATAAAGGTGAACTCAGGAGGTCAAACACATGCACAGATGCACTTGGCCTATTGATGAACTCATCAGCTCTTCAGTGACACTGAAATTGTGCCTAAGCAGTGTGGGATCAAAGCACACAGCTGATGTTGTCTCAGAGGCCCAGCCCTGTATTGAGCAGAAAAGCAAACAGCAGAGCGTGGAGAAAAATCTAGAACAAACAGCCCCTTTCTGAGTTGGCATTCTCAGCTCTTCAGCTTTAACCAAGTGTTCCTTCAGAATACAGAAAGGACGTCTTCCCAAACAACACAGCATGTCCCAAATGAAAGCTGCAGCTGCTTTAGAGCAAACACAACACTGGCAGACTGTGGTTCCCCAGCCCAGCTCACACCAACACTGCCACGTTTGTGTCCCAGCACTGGGCCACTGGATGGGGAAAGGACCCTCAACCCCCTCCTGCACTTCCAGATGGGTCTGTGCAGCTCCTCTGGCTCCCCACAGTCAGCAGAGCAGCAGCTGTGTCCTCCTCAGGCCCCGAGGAAGGGTCTCCATCCCCAGGCAGTGCCTGACCACCCCCAGTCTGCCCCGTGTCATGGTTAAAGACCCCTCTGCAAAGGTCTCCCATTACAGGAACTCACACAGAAGCCCTGTAATAAGTGTAGTGGTTTGGTTTGTCTGGCTTGGTTTCTTTAAAGCAGTCTGAGCTCTAAGCAATTAACCCTTGACATGAAGCCCCAGATCCACAGCAGCTGTTCTGCAGACAGTATGATCTGCTGCAAGGCAGAGGGAAAGGAGAGGAGACTTTGCAGCACACACACAGCGTTTCAGCAGTGCAGATATCAGTGAAATTCCATCCCAAGGGAAAAGGAAAACTCCTTTGTGCCTACCTGTGTGCCTAGAAGAGGTGAGACAGGAGAAACAGCAGCTACCATGCAAAGGTCAACAGAAATACAACATTTTTCACCTTAATTTCCATACCCTATTTCGTTTGCATCACCACTCACGTTGTCCTCGACATCCCTGTTCTTCCCTTCCACCTCAGGATGTTCCATGACTCTGTTTTATCAACTGCAGACTGCAGCTGCTGCACAAAGACACCACTGCTGCTGAGTCAAACTAAGCCCTGGCTTTCTGTTTAGAGCACCAAACAGTGCTTTTGCAGGGGCTGCTTTTTAGTGTGAATGCTTCTGGTCAATGTTTAAGTGGCAGCAGCGCTGAGATACCCAAAAACAAAGCTCTCCTCTGGTCTACAAGGGCTAGATCTTCCCTAAGTGTTCAGTGCAGAGAACAAACTGCAACATGACAATGGTCTTATTCTTCCTTCCACTTCCTGCTACTGTAACTGCACCTAAGAAGAATTAACCACAATGCCTGACCTGAAAGAGAAACAGAAATTAATACCTGTGCTGTGTATGAACCAATTTTAGCGTCTGCAGGATACTCGAGTTCTTAATGGCCACTTTTCTAGTAACCTGGGTGTTAAGCTCATGTGCAGCACTCATTTTAAACCACTGGCCAGGCTGCAGCGTGCAGATGCACAGGCTCTGGGCCAGGTTCCAGGCACAGACAGGAGCAGAAGGGTTATTTTCCTAAGTCTGATGTCTAAACTGTTAAAGCAAAGGAAGAAATGTCCCTTTCCAGTGAGTGCACGCAGCAAACACCATCCATGGCTTACTATCCCAGACAGAGAGTCGGGGGGGTCACCAGTGCCAGTGGGGCTCATTTCTGCATCGACACACCACGAGCAGGAGAACCCAAGGAGAGAACTGGAGACAGCGAGTCCATCCCTGATAAACAGAAAAAAAGGCACTACAGCAATCAGCATATGGAAAAGGTCCAAGTGCAGGCACTAGCGGTGTCTGTCACCCTCGGCCTGCAGAGAGAAGTTCACAGAAAGCCACTTAAAAAGAGCAAGTTATGACATGCTAAAGTTCAGCTATGGAATTATGCGGATTAGCAAACTGCGAGACAGCAGACACAGATTACCTGAAGATTTAGTCAGCTTGGCTGAAAATACAGCAGTAGGTTTTTTCTTTTCTTTAAGAGAAGCAGGTTCTTTCTCAGCTTCCTTCTCAACAGCTCCTGGTTTTCCTACACTGACTATCTCTTTGTCAGCAGGTAAAGGTGAGGTATCTGTGGCCGGTAAGGACATGGTGGGTACTTCAGGCACTTCTCTGTCCACAGCCTCCAAGGACTTTTTCAAGGCATTGGTATCTTCCTTGGCTTTTACTTCTACATTCTTCACAGACAGGTCACAGGGCAGCTCTGGGCAAGGCAACTGCCTCTTCTCACCTTGGGTCACCTTGCTGATCTCTTCATCTTTGTGCACTCCTTCTCTGTCAGCGGCTTCTGCCATGAATTCAGGAGAGGTTTGAGGATGAGCCAACATCACAAAGTCATCTTCCACTGAGACTGGGGAAGAGTCCATGGGTGAGAGAGCTTTGTCATCTCCTGTTTTTGGTTCCATAGCAACAGACACATCAGCTGAATAAGCCAAAGCATCCAGCTCTTCCATCTGAAGAGGAATCTTCTCTGCCTTGGCTGCTTTTGTAGGTATTGGCTCAGATGGCAGAGCAGCAACATTTCTGGAAGAGTCCAGCTGGGGTTGGAATGACTCCAGGTAAGGTTTGCCCGCAGCAGCCACTGAACCCACCGCTGGTTCCTCGTGTTCCTCATTGCTCGCAATGCTCTCAGTGGATCTACTTGTTTGCAGGAGGGATGGATCCTCACTGGCTTCCTCAGCAAAGTCAGCTATGGCCTGGCTGCTGAACAGCTCGGATTTCCCAAACTGGGGGGACAGTTTGCCCTCCAGTTCCTGGTGCTCAGCCGCATCCTGAGGAGTGTGTTCTGCCTTCGAGTACTCTGCAAAGGCCGGAGCAGCAGCGTCACCGGGGACCTTTGTTCCCTTGATCAGGTCACAGGCAATGGATATATAGGGGGTCTCCAGGTCTTCCGGAGCGGTGCCGCTCTCGGGAGCAGGCTGTTTAAATGCCAGTGCCTCCTTAGCTTCCTGGGGCTGTGTCCCAGCTACATTCACAGCCTCCTGGTACCCGGGGGGTTTCTCAGCCTCTCCTTTGACGTTCTCATACTGGCCAGCGGGGATGAAGGTTTCTAAGGGGGAAGCTTCCAGCTGCACAGCAGACGCCTCTGCCCCAGCAGCCCCAGCGCCCAGCGGGGCCTCCATCACAATGTCTGGCAGCACCGGAGAGGGAGCGGCCTCCACCCCTTCGAAGGAGGGGCAGATTTGGGCCACGGGTTTCAGGGTCTCCTGCGCCGACTCGGAGGTCTGAACCAAGTCGATCTTGGGCTCGTAAGCCAGTTTAGTCCCCGCCGCGTCGTGCATTTCGCTCTCGTAGGCCTCCTGCACCAGGTCCGGGGTGAGCCCCTCGGGCATGCTGGCTGTGCTGTCAGGGGGCACTGCTGCCCCGCTCTCTGCCCTGGCAGAGTCAGCCCCCTGCCCTTCCCGCCTGCCAACTGCTCCAGCGCTAAAATTACCTTGTTCTGGGCTGGGCTGAGCCTTCATTTCTGCAATTTTTTTCTCATCGTCGGTTCTATTTTCTGAAGCGCCTTCCTCCAGTGGAGACAGAGACTTGCCTTTGTTACCATCAGGACTCGGAGAGGAGTCAAATTTAGTACAAGTGATGTAAGTCTGCGAAGGTTCTTTCACAGCTTCTGGGGTACTTGGTGAGGAGAGATCTTCAGCGCTGCCCTCGCTTTCGTAATCCTTCGGCACGCTCGGCTTCCCCACACCATACTTCTCATCCAAACTGCTCTGCGGTTTGCCATCTATCTTACTTCCAGCATCCTCCCTCAAGCTGCTCAGTCCATGACTAGCACCTTTTAGTTCCCATATTGGCTCATATGGTTTGAAATCTGCATATTCTTCCCTCTTAAGAGGGTCTTCCTTCAACAGCCCTTTCTCACGATGATCACCACCTGCAGATGTGTCTTTGCTATAGAACAGATCTTGCCCCTTTCTCTCAAATAAGTCTTGGGGACTTTCTGGAGACATTTTCAGAGGCTGTGCAGGCATTTTCTCCAGGTTAGGTAATTCTTTAGGGCCCTCTAGCTGTGTTTCTTCTTTAGCAGGAGAGAAAATGGCTGCTTCTGCTTTAGCAAATGGGGGTTCCGAGTGTTTCATCTCTGAAATGTCTTTGTCGTTTCCCTCTGCAAGGAAGGGGTTCCTGGCATTTTTCACTGGTTCCTTATAAACCTCACTTGCAGGTAATCCATCTGAGAGCGTACCAAAGGCTGTGTGCTCTTTAAAGGGCTCAGCTGAGAGAGGAGAGAAGGAAGGGAGAGAAGGAGCAGGACCGAGCGGGACTGCAGTGAAATCCTCTTGCCCAAGCGACTTAGTGCTACCTGGCTGCTCCTGCAAGTCCTGACCTTGGGCTGTGACAGAAAGGAAAGTTAGAGAATAAAAGTGCTCTTAAGTCAAAGCAAACTTTCAAGACAGCTTCATACGATTTTAGTTATTTCGAGGCTCTTCCAAGTTCTACTCTGGATATTAGGAGCCAGGAACACACAGTATCAACTAGAGCTACTCTATTGCACCGCTAGCAGAGGAGGCTGGAGAGGCAGCAACTTTATGCACCACAAAGATCTCAGTAAAGCTGAAGGTGCCAGACAAGTACAGAGGGCAATATTAACAAAGTCAGAGTGGGAGGGTGGCAAGTGAGACAGAGAGAGGGGACCTGTGTATGCTTGGCCATAAACATGTGTGTGCCAGCAAAGGCTTTTCTGACACCTCTCTTAAATGGGAATTTGGTACCAAACAAAACCCACTACATAAATACTACAGGTACAGATTTGACTTCTATAAATACTGCAGAAAGTTACTGTGGATTAAATCTTTCTGCTACAGCAGTAAAGCAACTACGTTCTACGTGTTAACCTGTTAACAGTATCGACTTCTCTCCTACAATCAAGGGTCCAAGAATTCACAGATGGTTTTATCTTGTTTATCCAACAGTTTGCCATGTCAAGAAACGAATGTTTATTAAAATCTGGAATAGATCGAGTGCAAAGTCAAACCTGAGGCTATTCTTGGACCCGTGCTGACTTTCAGTCAAGGCAGACTAGAGGGAAAGGGTTAATGAGCTCAGAAATGCAAGAGGGGTCAGACAAAGGGGAGCAGAGAGAACTTGCCTGCAGAGGAGGGCATCAGAGGCGCAGGTGTAGCAGGAAGAGCAAAAAGGGTCTCATCTGAAAAACAAACAAAGAACCTCAGCAGAAGTGAAGGGCAGGCTGAAGAGGGGAGAGAGCACACGAGCAGTCAGTTCCCAGGAAACCAGAGAGCCAGAGCCAACACCCACAGAGAACCAGGGGACACCACCTGAGACAGGTGATGTGGGAGAGACAACACCCCCATTCCTCCAGGGATCCTCCTGGGGCACCTCACCCTCCAAGCCAGTGACCAGACACACCACAGTAGGGTCACACACCCCACAGTAGCCACTGTGTTTGCATCCCCCACACTCCCACAGGACAGAGCAGCTCCCCTGGCCTGGCAGTGCCACACTGTCCTCCCCCAGCAGCAGCTCCCCTGGCCTGGCAGTGCCACACTGTCCTCCCCCAGCTCCTGTGCCAGGGGGTCTCCAGCACCCCCCCCCTGCTGTGAGAGCAGCTGACCCAAGGACTGTGCTGAGGTCCCATCACTGCATAAGCCCTGAAATTCCCCCCCAGCAGAGCACTCACAGCCGTGCCCACGCTGGGCAAACTGGTATTTTCCCCATATCCATCAGGGCCTGCTGGCTCTACATTAATGTGAAATGTGCATAAAGTTCCCAAATCAAGGCAAAGGGCAAAGTTATATCAAAGCACTTAAAACGAGATTTTTAATTTTCAGTCCAGTTTTGCTACTTGCCTGGATAAAATCAAGTACTGGAAAAGATGGTTTGCTCGGTTGTTTGTTTGTTTTTAATTAAAAGCAAACAATAATAGAAGCAACTGATTCTACAAGATGAAAGGCAAGAAGCAGAGATATGGTAGATGCAGCAGCACATTCGTGCTGACCCTGGGAGGCAAGGCTTTCAGCTAAGCTGTGCTCTGGCACTGAACCACGGCTTTGAGCAGCAGCAATGCCACTTGCAGACACACTCATGACCTGCCTGGCTTACTCAAGTTAATCCCACCAGCAGTTTTCCAAAACCCAAGTGCCCTCAGACCTGCATTTCCTGTCACAATATACAGCTGGCTGGTTTGGTTTTGCTAAACATTTATATCTTGCCGTGTTTTGTGGATTATAAATCTTGCTGGAAGATAACAGAACGCAGGACTTGGTGTTTAGAAGCTCCCTCAACTCCTGCTGGGCCAGAGGGATTTCTGTTCAGCTTTCTAAAAATGCTGCTTTTCCACCAAGGAGCACAGGGAGAGAAACCTCAATTCCAAATTTAGAGCACAGCAAAGCAGTGCCACAGCTCAGGGTGGCAAAAGCCTGGAAGGACAAAAGCCACACTGGAGGACGAGGGATCAGGATGTGACACCAAGAACTGCAAGGCTCAGCCCTGCAGGACCAAGAGCCCCCACGAGCCCTTTGAGAGCCCAGCAGGAGAGGGTCTCAGGGGAACCAGGGATAAATCACTGCAGAGGAGGTGCTGAAAATGTCCCCAGAAAACAAGGGCAAAGGAAGAAAACAGAGTCCATGGGGTAAGGAGGAGAAGAGGAAAATGCACAACGAGTCCCTGAAGGTGCAGTTCCCTTCCTGCCCAAAGGCCAACTGCAATCTTGACCAGAAACTCTGCATTTGAGATCTTTTGAACACTTGGCAGGCCCAGAGAGAGGTTTGGGGTTCTGGTTTCAGGAGTATGGGCTGTGCACAGTGCACCAAGTCCTCCTCAGCTCTGGCTTCCACTTGCTCACCACAAGCACACAGTGGCTGTGCCAGTGCCTGAATTCCCAGGGTCTCCCAATGACAGGATGTTACGTCCACACCCAGCCTTTATTTTCCACCCGGAGCCGGAGTGTGAGGAGCGATTACATAAAAGCAGTATTTCCTAAGCAGCCAAGGAGAACCACCCACTCTGCCTCCACCCACCTCAGAATGGCATTTTTCCTGCTGGGAGGAAAGAGATACAAGGGCTTTTTCCTGCTGTGGTCCCGGGTAACACCCCCAGGCAAGCAGGGAAAGTGGGGCAGGACAACTCCCACCCCAGCACGGATGTGAACTGACCCATCAGCCCCTCCAGGCTGTAACTCAAGGGGATGGTGGAAGGGATGGCAGTGACACGTGCGCTGAACAATCCTCCCCTCCCCTGCTGGAGGCAGAGGCCTTGCAGCAACACCGCTCTGGGGGTGGAGAGGACACAGCCAGGACACACCGCTGACGGTGGCTTTTCCTGTTTGCATCTCAACAGCAGCAATTAGGCGACCAAACCACACAAGTAGCACACTGCTACAAGAATCGGGTAAAAAAACCCCTTCGGAACACAGCAAGCTCTAAGCAAGGTGATTGCCAGCAAAGGTGGATATTTCAAACACTTGAATCGAGCTGCAAGGTGAGCTGTCTCTACAGCAAAGTCCCACCCAAAGACAGACAGAAAATCGGGGTAATCTGCACTTTTTACAAATCATAACTCAAAACCTCCGTCAGGAAGTTGAACTGCTCAATTAATGCTTCCTCAGAAGACAGATTTGTGACATGAAACATAGAAGAATGAGAGCTCGAAATGAACACAATCTCCAGGAAAAAAGTCTTTACTCCCAATTTTATCTGCCAAAAACCCCTAACGATGCAGGTCAGTAAAGTACTTTCAGCACTGCAGTGAAGGTTGACCTCTTATTTATGAGTGGTATCACTTTGTATCAGTGACTGAGCACCCCAATCAATGGCTTTTATAGAGAACTTGACACTCAACCTGGCTGACTGCATTCCTATTTTTAACCAGAAACATTCTGCAAATTAAATATTTCCCCCAAAAAAATCCACCCACAAATAATCCTGTAGGTGTTTCTTTCATTAACATGAACCCTCCTAACTTCAAAACTCTCTGTTCTGTCAGCTAAAACACAAGGTCCCCCAGCCAGAATCAGATTTCAGTTTTGTTTAAAAATAAAAACCCCCTGACACCAGCATGACAAAGGAGTGTGATTTTAAATCTAATTTTAATTTTTGCTGAATGCCCACTAAACATTACGATGCTGACACTACCAGCACAAAACTTCACAAATATCAAATTTCAGATTAAAAGTAGAGAAATAAACGGAGGCAGATTCCCCAGATAACAAATTAAGTCAAAGTTTGCTGCAAAGACTTCCAGAGAAAAAGAGAAGAACGTTTAAACTCTCAGAAGTAGTAAACTGACAATTCCAAGAAAAGCAATTTAGGAGAAAACAGCCTTTTTTTTTCTTCCTTCCCACAAAACACATTTGCCAAAGGAAAACGGGACTTGAGTCTGGAAATAAGAACTTCAATCAGAACCGAGAACTCAGGCAGGGATTTCCCCCCTCCTCAGTGGGTCTGGGGAAGGGACGTTCCCTCCCAAGCCCCAGCAGCAGGACAAGGGCTGCAGGGGGTCTGCTGTGCTGCTGCTCCCCTCAGCGGAACCCACCCCAGGGGGACACAAATATTTCACAACAAAAGCAAACAGGGTGAGTGGACACTCCAAGAATGGCATCTGTGACACGGCTGGCAGGTTGAGGGGAAGTTCCCTGTGCAGCAACCCCTGGGGGCAGAGAGCAAAGAGAAACTGTTTCTTTGCCCAGCGCACCAAGCCGTTCCTGTGTCAGCACTTCTAATCTCAGCCTGTTGGCAACACACTCCAAGGGACCACTGAAAAATTCAACTGGATTATTGTTTCGAGTCCTTGGCTGCCTGAGTTCCCACTGCAGCACAAAGCAAGGGCACACGGCTTCACGAGAATTCCCCCAGAAGAGCAGCTGCCTACACAGACTCCTTTAAAATCATCTCCTGTTGTGATGCCATTGTTCTAAATATGGGAGTTCACCAAATATTGAAGCCATTCGAGATCAGGAACGTTATAGCATGTTTTCATATCGTTAGATCAGGCTGCAGAGCCACAGCAAATAATTAGTTTTTCTCATCTGGCTCTCAGTTAAAGGTATAAGTTTAAAAAGACAAGTTTCCAGGGTAGGAAACTCCAACTGCAAAAAACATTGGAAATCTTGGAGCTGCTACAGAAAATGGAGATTTTGTTGAAGATTTAAGGGCAGAAAGGAGCTCCATTTTATACATCTTGAGGGTGTCACAGCTGGGATCACCAAAGGACCCAAGGCTTTGATTAGTAACAAGAGCAGCTGCAGGTCATTGCAGGCCTTTGTGGAAATTACTGCAAGTGGAATCCCCTGCACTGCACAGGAGCTCTCTCTCATTTCATGTTAACTGAAACAATGAGGTAAAAAGTTCAAAGCAAGCATTTTGCCCAAAGCTGGCTGCTTTAACCAGCCTGGTTGTGCAGGCACAGGGCTCCAGCATGATGTGCTTTCCTGATGTCTAAGCACAAATATAACCAAACTGGTCTAGGCAAGGGGAGTTTTTTTGATATCATTTTTTTCATGTACAATTTGCAGCTGCAAAAACCTCCACTCGAGGCAAACTGCCAGCAATGCAGAGCCTGGAAAGCAGTGGCAGAGGTAAAGCTGAGCCTTTTCTTCTCCCTTTGATCAGCTACTGAGGGAAAAGAAAGGCAGCCCCACTGCCCTGCAGTGCCCAGGTGCCAACCCAAGCAAGAACAGATGGGCAGGGAAGAGAAGGTAACTCTGCTCTGTCACAGCAGCCTCACTCCACTGCCCACACTGCCAGAGCCAGGCCCCACCACGGGGGGCTTTCTGAAAGGCCATTAAACCCTTCAGTGCCAGTCTCACCTCAGCCTGCACAGCATCCAAAGAGCGTTCCAGAGGATGTGCCACAGCTCCCTTCATTCCACTCAGGTGGCCACAGTGAACTCCAACAGCCCCAAACAGCCCCTTCGCCACCACAGCTGGCTCTAAAATCCAAACCACACGTGCTCCACAGCGTGAACTGAGAGCTCTCTCTGCTAGCAACATGACCACACTCAGCATTTCCAGTCCCCCATTTCCACTGTTCCAATCTGTCTGATTAAAAAGAGGCAGAAAGGAGCAGTGTAGCCAACTGCAGACACGTGGCCAGCCAGACACGGCTTTACAGCCAAGTGCTCAGTCTCTGGCAATATCTGAAACCAAAAAAAATACGAGATGATTCCTCTACAAACTAGATAACTCTTAAG